AATGATTACTGTTGGTATAGAACTCCACTACAGTCAGTTAACCTTTCACCTCTCATTTGACACAGGCTCACTTTTGCAATTTAACATTCTGTGCCAAATGATAATGGTACTAGTTGTACTTGCATTTTTTTAAATTTATTTTCAGCGAATGAATCACTGTAATTTCAAGCATATTAAACAAATTTTATGGGATTTATTATTTGCTTTCATGCAAATATGCCAATGACTGAAACAACCCTGCAAAGACTAATTGGTAACAAGCATTACCGAATAGCTTCTACAGCCAATGAAAGACTCTTTTTTTTTTTAATTTGAGTGAAGCATGAAGATATTTCGAGATAAATGTTTATAAATATTTGTAAATATCCATAAACAATTCATGCTTTCATGACAACCCTATTTAGATTGTACAATTAAGTTCCAGTTCTCCAGGACTTTTGTGATTTTGCGAAATTTATTATTGTAATACCGGTACTTCCTTGCACATAAAGTTTTTTTAGCAATTCAAAATCTTTGTGATATTAGTTTGAAAAAGGTATCAAATCCGAGCTACCCATAAAATTATATCATGAAATGTGGAAAAATAAAAAAAAAATAATGCACTAAAAAAAATGCCTATTGTAGTTCATTTTCGTTTCCAACAACTTTTGTAAACGAAGTATGCATTTCCATCATGAGGTTTTGAGAGAGGCCATAAACAAAAGAATTTTTTATTTTGATTCTTTAAGGTATTAGGCAGTCCAGTCTATATTAATAGATATGGTTACTTTTATTGATGCCTAGATCAACACCTACAAATTACATTACTGATCTAAAAATTCAACTTGGTCATTCATTGGATGATTGGAATGCATAAAAGCATGGTTACCTCTTCTAGTAATCGTGATAAAAGGCATTAAAGTCAGTATTTAGTGCACATTATTTGCTAGATCAAAACCCACATTTATGCTTGCCACTGAGAGAGTGCATTGGGTTGTGGAAAAATCTTTTTATCAAGGGTGATGGTCTATGTCACTATGATACCTATATTAAACATGACATAATATACATTTCTCTGTAGAAAAGAAAGTGAACGCAAAAAACCAAAACCAAAGAAAAAGGAAGAGGAAGGCAAGATTGTTGAAAGAGAAGTGCCACAGTATTCGTCAGCTTTGTTCTTCAAATACAATACACAGCTTGGTCCTCCTTATCATATACTTGTAGATACAAACTTTATAAACTTTTCAATTAAAAATAAAATAGACATTATGCAGGGTATGATGGACTGCCTTTATGCAAAATGTGAGTACACTAAATTTGTAAACTTCCTCAGATGGTACATTTGCAATGTTGTAGACGAGTATATAATTTAATTTTTCAACTGTAGGAAAAATGAGGGTCGTAAGTGAAGTGGAATACAGATTTCCATCTGCAGGGAATGTACATGTGTGTGGAATGCTACTGGAATGTTTGTATAAATTACTAATTTATAAGATATGAAAGATTATATTCATGGTGAAGCTATTTACATATTCTCTGCTGTATTGCTTTGTGTATGTTTCTTTTGATTCCAAGTGAAAGTATGCCCTCTATGGCAACAATGAGAGCTGTAAGAGTGCATTGTTGTCATGTACTACCGGTATTCAATTCAATGAGAGATTCGTGGTGTCATAGTGATTACCAACAAAATGAAAATAAAAAAATCTTGTCTCCACATTCATTCATAATCATTATCAATATTTTTCACATGAATCTGATAATTTATCTTTGAACGATGTACATGTTGTATGTTTGGCATGTGACCAATATTGAATACTGCAATATTCTTTATTTTAGCTGGAATTTATTTTCACTGAAATCTGATGAGTTGAATGTAAAATATAGAGGAAAAAGTTATATTTGCTTGATTTTATTTTCACTGAATCATTCCTTCGGCAAAAATAGCTAAAAGTAATTCCAAGAAGTGAAAAATAAAGTATTTCACAGTATTCCAACCACTATATAAGTGTCAGATAACCAAGAAATAACATACTGTATACTGCATTGATTTTGCTAGTCAGTGAAAAGTGAAATTTTGAAGTAGGGATAATTTATCTGCAATGCTACAATATTGAATGTCGGTGACTTTTGCCCCATATTGTCTTCACAAATGAAATGGAATCCTCCAATCATGAAAATGTGGAATCTGATATTGACCACAATATTGTCAATTGCAGGTATACCATACATAACAGACTGTGTGATGGCTGAAATAGAAAAACTTGGTCCCAAGTACAGAGTGGCATTAAGAATTGCAAAAGATCCTCGGTTTGAGCGTATACCATGTATGCATACAGGTACATATGCAGATGACTGTCTGGTCCAGCGAGTCACTCAAGTAAGAGTATTTGTTGTATGATGATCTCAACAGTAAAGCACTGTAAAATTTTATTATTACTTCCATCTGTTTTACAACCTCATCTCACTTTGCCTTGTACAAGTCATTGCAATTTTGATATTTCACATCTGTCTGCATGTATATGTGTGAAGGTATGCATGTTCTACCAATAACCCAAAAACTTCTAAGTGAATTGAAATGACATTTAATACACATACTTCATGATGAACTCCAGATCTGATTATTTTGGGGGAAATTTGCCTATTATAACTAACCAATTTCAGCATGTTCTTTATGGGCCAAATCCATTGAAACTTGTATATGGTTGTGTAATTTTTATATTTCTTTTTCAGCTTGTTTAATAATGTTCTAATGTTCATAATCAACTTTGTTTCAATTTCAGCATAAATGTTACATTGTAGCAACTTGCGATAAAGATCTCAGGAGAAGAATACGTAAAATTCCTGGAGTCCCAATTATGTATCTTTCTCAGCGGCGGTAAGTGCAAGCTTTGCGTCTTATACCTCTGTTAGAACAATTACAGATTAGGTGCCTTGAATGAATTTTGAATTTCACTTCTAGGCACATTTGATTGAATGTAAATTAACACTTTCTGGTGTTTGTTCCCCACAAAAATCCCAAGTAAAATCTGACTCTGTTTTCTTCTTACAGATTTACAATAGAGAGAATGCCAGATGCTTTTGGAGCTCCAAAGGTTTAAGATGAAAACAATGCTATCATAGTGGTTAACTTATTGCATAATCAATTGCACCCTCAATAAAAGTTATTTAACAGATGGAAGCCCCTATGGTCAAGTGTGATGGATCATGCGAGTAGTGCCATGTTGCGTGGTTTCATTAATAAAATACCTGGAAACGTACATATTTTTTCTTCTTCAATATTCTGAATTTCACTTGCCTACAGAATTGAGCCTTGCATCATTGCATGGCTATCTTTTATTTCAACAGACGACACATGTTGATACGCTTTTGTTTTTTTTATTGTAAAATAAAAATGCATTTTACAGTGTAAATAATAAAAAGCTCAACAACTGCACAGAAAACATGTGTCATATATTTGCACTTAATTACCACTGAAGTACAGTAGACTTGATACACATTGCAAACTGTGAAGGCTAAAGCCCCCCCCCCCCCCCTGGAATAATTGTTTGTATACTGTAAAATTCTCATTCAGGCATCACTTTTGGAACTTGCACTTATTTTCTACCAACACAAACTGTCAACAGATTTTATATAAGATCCATCTGAAAAAATCATAATTACTGCTTTAAATGCAAAATGCAGTTTTTCAATGCTAAAACATTGTACTTATAATTCGTGAAAATCGCTTCCCCATTCTATTTTTTAGCAGAATCGCACAGTATTTTGATGAATTACGTTCTCGATCTACCAGGCATTCATCAATACATGCTCAACATTGCTTTGTATGTGACTGAAAATATTAGTTCAATAATACAACCAAAGAAAGAATCTTTGTTGTACAATAATTGAATAGAATTTAGTGTTGATTAAACTTGTTACTGTATGTGCTACCAAATTGCCAGTTTTGACACCTGAATTAGAATATTTAAAGTTACAATCCTTGAAAGCCACAACATGAATAAAAGGTAGTGGTTTACTCCCTTTCTTTAAAACCTGGTAAGCACAAAAGTAGAACAATTGATTCATTACATTTCATCTTCAAAGCCTAAATCATCTTCTGGAAAGTCGCCAACCGTGATGTGAGCCGGTTTTACAAAGCCACCATATTTCATCTGACATTCAAAATATCGTTTGCCTTTTACACTGAAAATAATAAGACCAACCATTGAAGAAAACATGCAAGTAGACCAATAATGCAAACATACATTAATCAATTTCAGTAAGACACTCTGTGTTTGCCGTAGGAGAAGAGACCATGATTTCTATGAGTAAGTGTTGGATGTACACAAGGTGAAGTGTGATACTATATATACGATGTTAATTGACAGACGTATACAGCAAGATTTGAGTATTCTGCGCGAGAATTTATGATGTAACTTACCTGCCATCATTTTTTCCCAAAGGTTCATCATACTTCACACCAACCCAGAGACCACTAGAGAACTCTGTTGTACCTAGAATAATGAACAAAGCAAAAGATATTTTTGAGTCCTTTTTTGCTTGTAAGCTTGTAATGAAATAAAATGAAATGCAAAAGAAGGTATATGATTTACTTGTTTGTCCCGTTCAGAATATGTGTATGTAATCAATCATTGTATTATTGCAGTGAATATCAATGTTGACAAATCTGGCATTTGTGGAAATATTGGGAACGAATCTACATTGGCTTAACCTATTAACCACCAGTTCCCTCTTTTCATCACAAATTCGCAAAATACTGTAAAATACTTTATTTTCATTTATTTTTGCTGAAAAGACTTTTTAGGTGTGTTATATGGAATTTATTTATACTGATTTTTGGCGAGTTGAATGTAAAAGATAAGAAAAAAGGTATATTCGCTGGATTTTATTTTCACTGAATCATTCCTTCAGCAAAAATAGCGAAAATTAATTCAAGCGAAAATAAAGTATTCCACAGTAGTCCTGTTTATAGTCTGCACTTTCTTTCAGAAGATTGGGGCAAAAATAGCCACATTTTTTGAGTAAAAACTAAAATTTGATTGAAATTTTGTCTGTTTGCTCTAAAATTAGGGTTCATTTTTAGATATACTGAAGAATATAAGCAAACAGTGCAGAAAAATTCGGGCGACCAAGACCAATGGTGAAAAAGTTGACATAGGCTGTACTCGGTATGTCAAGATAAATGTCACTAAATAACCTTACAATCTATTCACTTATAGCTATATCATAGAGTGTAAATATTGGTTAAAACAAAGTTGCAATTTGCAGTAATTTTCTAGAAGTTTTCCTGACGTGAAATGAACAAATCTGATAGAAGTCTAACCAAATGTCACACGCAACGTAATATTACCGTAATTGGTATAGTACAGGTGTGATGGTTCAAATACCAAAATGGCAACAGTAACAGAAAGACTTCCCTGGCGGCGATGATAAAATACGAACACGGAGCCAACAGATGAGGTTTCAACTGGTACTGGTATTATTAATACTCTGCAAACATCACACCTGTACTATACCAATTACGGTAATATTACATTGCGTGTGACACCAAGTCACATAACAAATCAATATATCAAACAATCGAACCAACTGAAAAAGTCATTTATAGCCGAGGTTGATGCAGATGCAACTGCAGACAATCACTAATACAGCTCCATTCTGTATTAGTTCTGTCTTCAATGACAGCAGAGCTATAAACAAAAATTAAACTAGTCACAGGGAATAATTAGGCAACATTCCATGAGATTCCTGTGTCAAAAATGTCTTGCATTACATGAATAGTAAAATCCAAACCAATGGTAAACCTAATTTCTGCTGATACTCACCAACATACATAACTGTGCCTCTTTTCACTGGAGGATTTTTGGGATTATTTACTTCACATCTTGATCCAACTTTTATTTGATCTGCTAGTTTTTTCTCATTTTCCAGTTTTTCTTGTGCCTCTTTTTCAAGTCTTGCCTTCTCTTCTTCATCAACTTCAGCAAACTGTCCCATTTTCATTTTCTTCTTGAAGGCTAATACAGAGTCTGAAGAGAAATCACACAATTATTACACCTTCGCATAAGTATTTAAAATACTTTGAATGTACCTGGTAAGAATGAAATTACAACTTGCTTCAAAAAGTTTGTGAAATAAGTATCTATGAATAGAAGTTCAGTCAGAAGTAGTTAATTTAAACTTGCCTGATCTTTTTGAATATTCCTCTTTTGATAATTCAAATTTTTCTACTTTTGATACATCTTCAAATGCGCCAACTGTTTGAGTAGGATCATGTACCTGTGTGTTGACATAAATTAAATCAGAGATCAACTGACATTGAAAGTCTAGTACTGTGTAGGGCTTAATAGGTTACATTTGTATTTTTCCATTCACTGTGAGATCACATGTAGTGCATTAAAGGGGCGGACCACATGTCTGCAGCAAAAATTGAACGATTTGAATTTCTTGAGAGAAGTATAATGCATTGAGATACCCTTACTTGACCATCATCAAATGTGTACCGGTATAGCACATTATTAAGCATGGAAATACCCCAAAAATACTTTTGTTTTTGTTCAATCTCGCGCGAAGTTTTTACAACACTACATTTTTGTCTTGTTTTTACATTCAATTTCACGAATAACACAGGATCTAGCAGTAAACAGAAAATGGTCTATCGATATTATTAATTTTATTTTGGGTTTAATATTTTGCTGATAACCAAACATGCTAAATTGAAACCCGGTGAATATGTAAAGTTAACAATAGGATAATTTGCTTTTTTAAATTTAATTTAATTTCCCTCTCTACAGTATTCCGGTAAATATTGTTATAATATCTAACGGTTGTTTCTCTACTATGGTTATACAAAGTGTAAGTGTCATAAATTGATAACAACTTTTTTGTTTCTTGGTTCATATATATATATACTGGTAGTAACAGTTCTCAGCATTGTATACTTCACATTAACAAACTGACATATGATGTGAAACTGTGTGATTTTGAAACCATACTTCCAGACTGTTGAAATGAACTTGAAAGAAAATTGATTAGACAGGTAGTACATGAATGTTCGGGTTTATGCCCACTGAATAAATTAGAAGCCATTTTGTGCACTGAAAATAGGAAATATGTGTGTGTGTGTCAAGTCCATTTGTCCAACATATTGGGTAGCTAATTTATTTACTTACATGTATTCTCATACCATCATCTACTGGATAGGAACCTAGCATGGCAATGTCATCTGATAGTTTAACTATTAGTTTATCATTCTTGTCAAAAACCTCCAAAAGCATCCCAGCAGTACTACATCCTGTAATGAGTTCTAATTTACCCTAAAGTAAGAAGAGAAGCAACATTTATTATGAAAAATTAACTGACACAAACAAAATAATATCCAAGGTTTGAAGCCTTGTTTTTAGATTACAGAGGGTGAAGATTCGGATGAATTGAAGCATGCATTAATATGTGAACAATCCTTCAACAAAAGTTGAATTAAGTACACAAATATTCTAAAACTATGAGAGCAGGACTACACCAGCATGAATTATGAGACAGATAGATATCCCAGTCTCTGATATTTCTGTCAATATTTGGGCTAAGCAGACATTTTGACAATATGAAGTTTTCATTTTAAATTATTCTCCATTTGACATTACATGTACTATGGTACTATGAAGACAACAAACTTATTCCATTGAATATTATAAATAAATAATTCAAGCTGAGAAGAAAGGTTTCTATTGGCAGATAGATTAGCATTGCAGCAATTTTAAATGATTTTATTATGCACTGCACACATTGATTGGCTGGTTAGATTCAACTTCCATTGAAATTTATAAGTATTTATTAAAATAAAGGAAATGAGTTTATGGTTGAGATAGTAGATACATTTAATCAGCCAGTGCAAGATCAGGTGTAACCTTTGTATTTCACAGGTGATTTTTTCCCCTGAATTTGAAGCAAATTAATGTGAATTTGTTTTGAGTTGATCATGTGCAGTTTTCTTTTTACCTGGAATTTAGTTGACGATAGTGCACACTCAATAGTGACTGCATTACGGAGACTACACATACATGTACTTAAATTATAACTATATGTTTACCGTGAATACAAACCGAAAGTGAATTGCTGATATCTATCAACTGAAATGTTTATTTAAAAATTACAAATTAGAATAATTTGTCCAGTGTATTATCATAAAACGAACTACAGTTTTATACATCAACTTCACATCTATGATCTAATATGTACACTTGGGAGACTAACCATGTGTATTTCCCGGGTGTATCCAGGGATACGTATATATTATGTGTGGTAAACGAGTCGTTGAGAACTAAGCTACCGGTATCGCCTAAGACTGACACATACATTATTTAAAAAAAAACACAATAATTGAAAAAGTATGAAAGCTACAACACATGAGAATGTGAAAAATTGTATATATAACGCCATCTTGATCCCTGTTCAATACAATCGTATGGATGCAATGACTGAGCATTCAATGATCTCACCTTTAACTCCCCAATCCTTATACTTTTCGGGAACCGTCGTTCGGATGCAAAAGATGTAGCAGAACTTGTGATCTGCACGGTGACCTGAGACTGGGTAACAACCGAAAATTCTGCCATGTTGTCTATTTCAAGTAAAGGTAAAACACGCACAAATTTACTTATAGTTATATTCTTGTTCGTGTCGAGTCCTGTCAATATTTTGTAGTTAACCTTTGACCCGAGAACTTACTCTCGCAAACCTGCATGCGCAAACTAACGCGAGATTATTAAATGGTTGATTTGCGTGTCGACTTCATCTCATCATGATGTCACAATATTGCTTACATTCCTTACAAATACAAATGTTCAATCACATCGAGAAGAAAATATAAATGACAAGACAAAACTAATTTATTTCAGGATTCATTGATGAATAAACTCAACCAATCAAATTGTTGATAACATTGCTTAAGATTGTTTTGAACTATCGACTATTCTTATTGGCTTCTATTTTTAACTCACCTTCAAAAAATGGCGGACTAACATTTGTGATGTTAAATGCTCTGCGTAACCTTCAATATTGCAGGTATCTTTACAGAAATCTAACCAGTAGTGATTGTAGTATGATTAGAGTAATATTTCTTTGATATAAACACACAATAGAAGGACAATAATTGGATTTAAGGGCAGAGAGATGAAGGTTACTCAAAGCTGAAGTGTGTAATTACTACATAAACAAAACACTACATTTATGCATAGACCTTAGAAAACTAAGGTCTATGATTTATGTAGTGTTACTGTACACACAGGGTCTCTTTAACTTGCTATGTCAAAAAATGGAGCTAAAAAGAGACATATTTTCAGCTCCATGTTCAAAGTTTAACCGGGATGTAAAATTAGTGAAGCCCATACTGCCGAATAGTTCTGAAGAGTACTCGCTGCATTGGGCTTCGCCGGTGTCAAAACACTACACAAAAATTCTACACTATTACTTTTTTATAACAATGTTGTGAATAGATAAGACAGCAATCAGATTAGTGCAGATCACAATAGTCATAAATACTATAATCCTTTCATTAATTGGACCATGAACAAATTGATTGCATTATTATAGTGGATTCAGATGTGTATTTTCGTTTTTGGAGGCCATTTCACAGAAAAAGTGTGAATTGATTGCATTTGAATGTTGACATTTTCTGTACCGGTACTGGTAGTTGAATATTGCTAGAGCTAAGTACCAAATTAATGGAGAACATCCTGTCAGGCTGGGAGTAATATTGATGATAGTCTTGTCTTCGACTCTGGCATCATATGACCAATATTCCTTCAGCAGGCAACAAATTGCGATATTGCCTTCGAAAATCATTCCTTATGAATTTCAATTGAACTGAGTCTGATATGATATGATATATTTCTTCAAATACATTTTTTTTTCTATTTCAGCAGGTTCATCTGTTAGTTAAATTAACATTGAATAGAAATTAACAATATTGCAAGATATTTCATCATGCGACTAACTTGTGATATTGATATAGCCAGTCGGCTTTTACCAACTCAAGGCATGGTTGGCAAATCAAAAGGAGTGCGAGCGTCCTTGTCCATCGGTAAAAGAACTGGAACTGATTCCAAAGAAGCTGCAATATATCTGTTAGTTTGCACAGCTAAAGAAAAAACTGGAATAAAGTATCGAGTGAGTGTAAATATTCACTTTATATTTTCATTGCTAATCATCAATCATAATCATCTGGAAATCATCAAAAGACTTTATTTTTTGTTGTTCTTTTTTTACAGCTGAAAGAAAATATTGAGCAATTTTTCGCAAAGTTTATTGGAGAAGGCAAAGCAACTGTACGTTTGAAAGAACCACAACTAGATATTCGATTAAGTAAGGTCAGTGTTATTAATGGATAACCTAATGTGGAGAGTGGCTAATTTCCATGTTTAATTTTAATTTTTGATTTATTGTCAGGGCAGAATGATACCATTCATATATCATTCCTGTCTCTAATCATCAATGAATGTACTTTTTGATTAAACATGTCAAGTTTATTTGATTTTTTCTAGGCTAATCCTGTGGATTTAAAGAATTTCTTGGGAGCTTTGAGACTTGCGAGTCGTAATGCAGATATTGAGAAACTTCAGCTAACTCCTCTCACACGAGCCACATCTTCTCAAGTAGAGAAACCTCAGACAAGAATGACAGTATTGAAACGCAAAGATTATCCTCTGACAAAGTCATTCCCACGATCGCTTGAAGCATTGAAAGTATCCAACTGCTCCCTGACTAGAATTGATTTCCGAATACTAGATCTCAAGAAATTGAAGGTACTGGACTTGAGTGAAAACCACATTCGTTCTCTACCCACCTCGATGGAACATCTTGTTTCCCTTTCTGAGTTGAACTTGTCCCACAACCAGTTGAGTGTATTCCCTCCAGAGTTGTGTAAAGAACCTCTGAAATCAACATTACACCTCTTAGACTTGAGTCATAACAAGTTCAAAGTAATACCACCACACATAACTGCATTGACAAAATTAGTGCACTTCAAACTTGAAAGAAATGAAATAATGCGATTGCCACAGGCGATAGGTAGGCTTCAACAGCTAAGATTTTTCTCAGCTGGACACAATCAAATTAAGACTCTTCCAGCTGGATTTATAAGACTGAGACTGGATTCGCTGGATTTATTTGGAAATCCATTCCTTGATGATGGACCATCTACAGCAACATCAAGACTTAAATTTCCAACATTGTTAGAAATAGCTGCAAGAATGGTCAGGAAACTTGGGTATGTAGTGTGTGATATCTCCACAAATATTTAGATATGTCGTAACTCATTTCATTGTCTCCACGCCTGTCCTACAATAGCTTGTGATATTTTAACATGATAATCATTGATTTGACAAAAAAAAAATATCAAGTTATTGATTTCATTGTTTCTATATCTCAAATGCTAATTTAGTATGACTGTGTTCTGTGATATGCTGCAGATACATTATAGACAGATCATCTTTTCTAGCAGTGATGAAATCATTGAATATCAATACTGTACTGTACAACTTAACATTGGTTGTTGCTAGAAATGTTCATACATTAATATCATACCCCATTGAATTGTTAACTGAATTTTTGACTCATGCCAAGTTAAATACATTGTACCTGGGTATCAATGATGGAATGTTTTATGTGTATTGCACTTGTTTCTTCCCACTCTTTCAGATTGTCATATGATGAGAATGAAATCCCAAAACCTTTATGTGATTACTTGGATTCAATGAAGAAATGTCTGTGTGGAAGTCCATGTTTTGAGGTATGTATCATGTAGGAAACACACTAAAATTAGTGTTATTTGTGTATTTGCATTGCTGTGATTTGTGAATATTTTTGAGACCTCTTTTTTTTAAAATTGGCTATTCAGATTGGTTTGTTAATTATGTAATTTGGATTTTGAAGTTTGATACAATATGTTTTTGTCTCCTGTGTACAACGCACACAATGGGAATCTTTGCAGTTACCCTGTATGTACAATGTATGTATATCTGTTCCACTATTATCTCAAGAACTTCTCAAACTTGGTACATAGTCGCTGTGGGAAAATGCATTAGTTTGGGGAAAAAATCTTTGCATACTAATTTATATTTTTTTGGCTATTCCATCGTTACAAATTTAAATGAAACTAGGTAAATAGATGCTCTAGGACAATGTACAGACCTCAGTTTTAGGTTGAAATCTAAGCATAATAATTTCTTAATCTGAAAAAACAATTATTGCATTTCATTAAGACTAAAGACCTGATAGTTTGAATTGAAATAACATTGCATAATCATCACATTAGTGAAATTTGGTTCATAGATGCTCTGGGATATTCCACAGACATGATTAATTTAATGTTGAAAAACATACTTATTGATTATCTAATTATTATTAGCCAACTTCTGATATCTCAAAAAATCAGACTTAGATTAACCTTGTGGTAGAGGTGCCCTGGAATAAATTAGTTAATAATAAAATAATTGCCAAACTTCTTGTTTGAAAGGCTAATCCTAAATTTTGAATATGCCTCCAGTACTCTCTTCACAGTTCTTTCTAAGCTTTCTTTGATTTTATTTAGCCAAATGTTTTTCATTAGTCAAAAATGATGTTTTATTAAGCTAAAATGCATTAAACAAAAAGAGTGGTGGCTCATTTAAACACCACCATACTGACTTAATGCCCTCAAAAATTAGTGCCTCATTAATCAATTAGAATTTGGAGAGATCTGGATACTATGGAAAAATGATTTTTTGGAAGGTTTCTTCAATTGATTCTTCACCACTGCCCGATCTTTGTAAGGATAAGCACTTTCACTGTATATTTCATTTGTTTCAGTCCTGTGTTCATTTCTTGGCCAGAGTCAACTTACACCGATTAGCCCATACAGTGACATCGCTGGATCATACAGGCCGTACAAATGCACCACTAGAAGCATATCTATGTTCACAGAGATGCCATAATAGATACCAAAATAATCCAAATGCAATTTGGCGCTGATATTGGCTCAATATTGCCCATAAATTGTAAATCTACTTTTTAACCAAGATAAAAATGTGTTTATATTAAAATAATTATAATAAAAAATAACATAGCAAAGATTTATGTGTGCATTTTTGTGTAACTTGGCTGATGTAAGGCTTACATCAGTTGTCAGTTGCTTCCAGCATTAACTTTTTATACAAGACAATATAGGTAGATTTGGTGGTTCTCTTTCAATCACCAAGACAATTATGTTGTAGCACATAAATGAAAGTAAATCTGTGTCATGAGCCAATCCAAGCCATTTTGTTTCACACTTGGCCAATACAGACTTGCACATGTTGTTTTCCAGTCCAAATGATAAAACAATGTCAATCACAATATTGGTAAGTCGACTCAAAGAGTTCCACCCTATATTATAATGCATTAGTCACCATTTAAAAACTGGTTGCATTCACTTAATTTGTAATAATAATTCAAAGGATTGGTTATTCATTCTGCTATAATATTTAAACAGCTTGAAATAACGTGTGGCATTCCTCACGGAAAAGACTGTTCAAATTATTTGAATTACTTGACCAAAAATCACACTGGGTAATACAGCACACAAAAGAAGAGCAAGTTGGTATAGAGGGTGCTATGCTAATCACCTGCTAGACTGGCAAAGTTATATAATTGTCAATTTAGCCTTTTTAACGTGATTGCAAAAACCAGCGTGACTGTGAAAGAAATCCTGACTGGACGAATCTGCAGGTGATCCCCTGCGTTGGAGTAAAAACCAGAGCGGAATCACTCTGGTCATTATGCTAATTAAAACATGTTAACTAGCATTGACAATGAATCAAAGTGCAGCTGTATACGTCATCTCTTATCTATGTTAATGTATGTGACCTTTCACTTCTGAGGTCCTGGCGATTTTGAAAGACTATTTATATACATTGGATGTTTAAATAGACTTATTTTCAGTAAACATGGATGAAAGTATCACCGTTGCACTTAAAAAAGTTAAAGTATCCATTTCTGCGATCGAATCGACCTTTTAACACACCCACTCATGAATAATCAATGACATCATGAATAATTAATATCAGTCAAATGCCAGGTTAGTTTTCGTGATCACACTAAAAGGATTAAAACAACAATTAATCATTTCTTTTTGTAAATCAAAAAAGAAGTCGCGACTTTGCCAGTCTAATCACCTGCCAATGTTCTCAACTGTATTATACCTGAGACTAACAATATTGAACCATTTCTTCATAGCTTAATTTTAAAAAACCTAGTTGAACTCTGGTGACCTTGCCTATTGTTATATAATATTATTCCCTTTATCATAGTTTGCATTGTCATAATTAATTTTGAATACAAACAGTGGGGAATCAGTCTACCGAATGTCCTTGTGGATGTAAATATCTTACAAAAACAATGGTGCCTAATTTGTTTAATTATTTTAAGGGACATAATTTCCAGCTTTATTCAAAGGAATTCAGATATTTTAGTATAAAAACGAATGCCTCATCTCAGAAAAAAAGTGCTGCATTT